GATTAGATCAGAAGGCTGAGGTATAATATTAAACTCCTTATATATAATTAATAGTTTCTCCGTTATCTTCTGTCATATCTAATAAATAATTCATTAATTTAATGAAATTATATAGTTGATCAAACATTTACAACCATTCTTGACTACAATTGATAATGCCCCATATGGGAAAAAGGTACAAGGAAAAATCAATTGTGATATTAAATTCCTCAAGTCATTATATTTTTAAACCTTGATTTGAAAAAAAAGATTGGATTCTTTGTCTCCATTATTTTCAGATATTTATTTCCTTTAATTTACACATTGATTCAAACATACATTTATTATTCTTACTTTTTTTTAATATCCATTATTTCATTTTTTAAATATTTTCATAAACATTTATCACGACATCAAAATCATTTTTTTTTAATTTGTAGTATCAATGTTGTTTTTAAATTATAATATTATTATGTTAGTATACTATTTAAATAAAGGCGAGAGATTTGTCCGGGTTGGGTGCGTAACTCTAATATGTTTAGTCAATACATTCGTTACTAAATTAGGGTTTACCCCTTTACGCCAACAGCCCTGGATTTGTCACGTCTATGTAAATTTTTCATATATATATGCATCATCAAATAATCATCAATATTAATATATAAGATTTCCTTTTACGTTTTAATGCAAAAAGATGACTCTTTCTTTTTTTATATCCCTATCTAAAAACACGATACGGAAAAGCTCAAGAGCTGACCTTGCCTCATCGTAGATACCCTGCTGAAATTCTTTTCGCGCCACCTTTTTGTGCCATTCTACGTAAAGCCCTTCTTGTTTAGATTTTTAATATTTCCTTTGAATAATTTATTTATTTTTTTATTGTTATTGATTATTTTTTAAATGACAATGATGGATCATTCTATTTAGAAGCGCTTCTCCTTGTCTTAATGTTTTACCTCCAACATTAGAACTTTTAGTTTTTCCTTTTCCTCGTCCAATTGACATTGTAGATTATAATCAAATATTTGATATTATATTATTTGGATTACCTAAAGATATTAAATAAAGATATACATATCATTCATTAGTGGTGATATATAATGCTAAGAATGTGTGCACGATAATTTTTTAATAATAATAAAAACTAATGTACTGTATATAATAAGCATCATGGACATTCGTGACAAAATTGAACGCTGATCTTTTTTATGCTGTGCAACATTGTATTAAAATAGAAAAACTAGTTATAATACAAGTGATTAATAAACTACTTGTAAAACGATGATGCTTTGCTTAAAGATACTTTTCATTAGTTAAAAGGCTTGAGCAAAAAGATCAAAGGGAGATC